TGACACTATCTTGCCAGTGTCACCAATAAGCTCCTTATTGCTAATTCTAGTGGATCTATAATCCTTACTTGTAATTTCATTTTATTATTATTATTTTAAGGTGAGTAGAGTTATAATGACTTAAGGAGAAAGTTTGATGTTCTTAGGGCAAAAAGAATTCATTAATTCATGGACAAATATGTCAAGTACTCCTATAATCGTTGAAGATACAGTAGCTAATAATATGAATAAAAGTCCCTATATTCTTGGAACTTCAGATAGGATGGGTTTAAGATAACATGACCAGGGAAGGCCCACTAAGAACATGACTTTTGAATAAAGACCAAATGGAGGTAAGGGAAGGTCACAGGCAGATATCTGGGGAAGAGTAGGCCTGGCAAACGGTTTATTTGGTCTTAGCAAAAATACTTTTTTGTGGCATGAAATGTTTTTATAAAGATTCTTGTACTGTGGTAAAATGGAAAGCTGGGTATTTTGGGGTATGCTGTTGAAAACGGACTTACATTAGGATAAAATAGTATTTTTCATAATTTCATTTCATAGATTAAGTGAAGACAAAAATACTGAAGTTAATTTTACTTCACATTTTCTTAGATCTAAATAGTCACATGCTTTTGTAGATGGGCAATTTAAATAATGGCATCTTTATTCCATAGAAAGTTGTGGATTTTTTCAAATAGGCTTTCAGTATCTTGCTCTCTCTCTTCTTCTGGCACCCCCATAATTCAGATGTTGGTATGCTTGAAGTTGTCCCAGAGGCTTCTTACACTATCTTCATATTTTTGGATTATTTTTTCTTTTTTCTTTTCCAGTGGGTGTTTTTTGCTTCTTTGTATTTCTTGATTCTTGTGATCTTCTAGTCTGCTGTTGGATCTGTGTATATTATTTTTTATTTCAGTCAGTATATACTTAATTTCTATCTATAGTTGATCCTTTTTCATGTCCTCAAGGGTCTCACTAAATTTATCAGCCTTTTTTAGAAAATTCTTGAAAAACCTTATAACTGTGGTTTTGAACTTTATATCCAGTCATTTGCTTTCCTCCATTTCTTTCATTTGTGACCTGTTTCTTTGTCTCTGCATTTTGGCTGCTTCCCTGAGTTGATAGAGTGGCTTTGTGTGCTAGGTGTCCGATAGGGCCCTGTGGCTCAGCCTCCCCAGTCTCTTCTGTGTGGCACACTCTTGGTGCACCCCTTTGTGGGCTGTGCGCACAGTCTTGTTGTAGTTAAGCCTTGATTGTTGTTGGTATCCCTGGGAGGAATTAACCTCCAGGCCAGTTGGCTGTGAGGATCAGCAGTATCTACAATGGGAGAACTTCTGTGCTGGAGATACCATTATGAGACAAGACTTGCTTCATTTGGGCTTTGGTGCTCACTGAGTCTGCCCCCTGTTTGTGTCTCTTATGGATCTGAGGAGTTGTAATTTGGATGGTCTCACGCTGATCCCTGGGTACACTGGTTCTTGGATCTCCAAGGAGGTGCTAATTTAGCCTCTGCCTGAGTCCATCCAGCAGGAGCTATGGAGAGATCTGCAGATTCCTCTTCTTTATTTGGGGTTTGGAGGTGCCCAGATGAGGCCTCACTATGAAGCAATGCAAGCTGCTGTGAGGTCTTGGGCCTTCTTTTAGATGTTCTGGGTCTTTCTGACTCTGCTGCAGTTTTATTAGGTAAGTTTAGATTTCAAAGGACCAGGCCATTCATATGCAAAAGCCTCTGTGCACCGCTTAGATGGGGCAGAGTCCCAGGGCAGAGAGAATAGCAATGGCTTCCCATTGGCCCTGCCCTAAGAGGCCCCGGGTCTCAGTGTCCATTGGTAATCATTGCAAGCACCTCAGAGAAAGCCGCCTTGAGTTCTGCCCACTGCCAGACAGTCCAGTTTCTCTCTGTATTAGTCTGGGTCCCCAGAGTCTTGCCTGGAACTGGAATTCAAAGCAGTCAGGAGCTTGTGCCTCCCTCCAGATTGAAAAAGCCAGGTGTACTCAGTTGCCAGCCTTCTCTGCGTGTGCACCTCCATACCACTTCACTTCCGCAGCTCCTGTGAGTCTCAGTGTGCTTTTCTCTTTTCTTCTACCCTGTTTCCCCAAAAATAAGACCTCCTCCAAAAATAAGACCTAGCGCATGGAAAGATAAGACATCCCCTGAAAATAAGACCTAGCTCAACTTTGGGAGAAAAAAATTAATATAAGACACTATCTTATTTTTGGGAAACAGGGTAGTTGTAGAATTTCCACTTAGCCAGCCTTCCTGTAATTCTAAATGATGTCCGTTTTGTCCTTTAGTTGTAGTTTTGAAGTTGTTGTGTGAGGCCGCAAGTTCAGGTGTTTATCTATGCCACCATCTTGGTTTCTCCTAGGAGACTCTTAGTGAGGTTCAACAGCTTTTTCAGGAGGAGGAATTTTACCATTTGTACTTACATCATTTCAGCAAAACGATTGATCTTTTGAGAGTAGTAAAACTACACATTCACTGTATACTATGCATTATATTAAAAACCCTAATTTATTTAAAGGAGAAAGAAGCCTGAAGAACAGCTTTATAGGTTGGCTCCAATATTTGGGAAGAAGCGTGTGATTCAGAAGGAGTCTTCCTAACTTGGATGGAGTTCAGTTTAGTTATAAATAGACTAGAGACCCAATGCAGGAAGATCCGTGCAAGAATGGGCCTTCCTTCCCCTGGCTGCCAGCACTGCCTTTGCTCTGGCCCAGAGCCACCTCTGCCTTCCCACACTGCCCAGAGGCCCAGAACGACTGGGGCAGTGTGGAATGTCTGCGTCCTGCCCCCTTGCTGCTAGGTGAGTGTGCATGCAAATTAACCCACCATCTTTATTGGGTTAATTTGCATACTCACTCCTGATTGGTTGGTGGGTGTCACGAAGATGTGGCAATTTGCATCTTCCTCTTTTATTAGTGTAGATTAATATGATTTCTATAACTGGTTAGTTTTTCAAGAAACTCAACTCAAAAATCTTTAGCATTCAGATCATAAACTTACTTGTAGTACAATTCCCTCTTCTTTACCCTTCACAGATATTAGGGATTTTAAAAAGTTTTGGAGACAAGGAATACGGCAGTGGCATAAGGTTCATTGAAATTTAAGAGCCCCTATTGGACAGTGAGAAATATTTCCCTAAATTTTGTGTTTTTCAATTTCTTTCCTTGAGTATGACTATATTAATTACCATATGTATATTGCTTATCATCTATAGCATAAGAAGGAAACACTATAGATCTAGAGAACATTTTATGGTTTAATTTATTTGGCAGCTCATACGGAGAATTGAAAAGGAAGAGGAATAAGCTCTTACTGGGCTTGATAAGGGCTCGATCTTTTGGAATGAGGTGCTTACATAGCAAGACTTGGATAAGGTTTTGCCTGTATTGTCTAGACCTGAACAAATGCTAGTGCTACTGCTAAAAAACATGTATGACCAGTAGACAAAAAGAAGTGCTGAATTGACAGGTATCCATCTATTCCTGAGTGTAAGCATCTCCCATATTGTTACCTCCCTGATTTCATCCTCTTGCTTAGGACCTAAAGGAATTTTCCTGTCTCTGGTAGATAATATTTTTGGTCCATTCCAGCCAGGGTCTATGATCCTTTTTTATTGTGCTATTGATAATGTTATTGATGAAGATAGTGTACTAATTCCATGTCAGGAAAGTAAATGACAGGGTATCATTTCCTAACCATTTACTTGGGAATTTATCATGGGATTATTCAAGAAGAGAAAACCCAGATTTGAATTTTAATCAGCCATAACAAAAAATGATTTGGGAGGGTTACTTTTTAAAAATGCCTTATTTCTAGCCATTCTCCCTTGACCAGTTTAAAAAATAATATGAGTTCATGGTTGTTTAATAATAGGAAAACCTAGCAAAGCAGATTTCTGTAATTTTGCCATCTAGAAATAAACAGTTACATTTTGATGATTATTCTTCCCATATGTTTTCATTACACACATATATTTAAACAATAAGCGTCATATTGTATTGTTTTACAGTCTAATTTAAAAAGCTGTATGCATAGTTTCCATGTTATTAAATATTCTTGTAAAATATTTTCAATAGCTGCATTATAATCTATTATATTAAACAATATTTATTTTACCAATTCCTATCACTAGATGCTAGCTGACTTTCAAACTTTGCTTTTATAAATTACACAGAAGAGAGCCCTGTATCTCTGGCTTCCCCCCCCCCCCCCCAGGATAACAGTAGTTTAGTGTATTTTTAGTTGTTTCACTTAAACATTTGCTAGACGAAGGAAACTAGTATTTATTGAATGCTCGTCTTCCAGATACTGTGCCAAATGCCTTGTAGTATTATATTTTATGGAACCTTTAGCTGGTTTAATCCCAGTTTTATAGGTGAAAAAAATCTATATGCATATGTCTAAGATATTTTGCAGTAAGTTAAATGCATGTAGAAAAAGTTGAAATGTTTTGGTAAGCAAATAACAGTCACAGGATACAATAAAAACTTACATATGAAGTTTTAATTTAATTTTGGCCTTGATATATATTACAATAAGACTTAATATCTTTGTGTTTTACCTAAAAGGTTTTAGGTCTAAAAATTAATTTGCATTCTTAGCTTAAGAGAAAAAACGTGAATGGGTCCCTTGAAAATGTTGAATTTTAGTCATATGACCACTCTTACAGGTTATTACTTTATAAATGACATTTTATGTTTAAATTAGAAGTGGGTAATAATTGTCTACACAGTGAAAATGGTTTCCTTTCACTTAAAGTTTCAGGCATAGATTTTTCCAATCCTGCACTTGTAAGATCTAAGAAGTGAAAGTTGAGTGATACAAGGTTAAAAAAAGGTTGTGGAGGAACGGTAGGAGCAGTGAGATGTCATGATATGTGCTTTTGCAGAGCTAGATTAGAATCTTGGCCTATTAGCCCATGTAATGTACCCTATTTTGATAAGTTGGTTTGTTGTTTTTAGGACCTGGTATTTGTTATCTAATGCACTGGTGTGTTGTTTTTTTATCTCAGTCACATCGATCAGACAACAACATGGCAGGATCCCAGGAAGGCTATGCTCACCCAGATAAATGTCACAGCCCCCACAAGTCCACCAGTGCAGCAGAATATGATGAACTCGGCCTCAGGTGAGTGAGACGCTGTAATTAGATTACTCTGAATAATGCTTGTGCATTGGTAAAACTCTCTGTGGAAAACAGTAATTATTCTTCTAAGAAAACTGGATCCTAGGTGATGGTTATTTTATATCCAGTTTCACAGGGGAGACTTACTTATTTCAAAGTAACATATGCCAAAGCATTGTTTAGCCATGTGTGTGATATATATATAGCCATTAGCATCATAACAACTGGTTGCTATGAAGCCCACTGTGGCCAGTGAACTCTGATCAGAGGGTGGAGCTGGCTTGCCAACCTCCTGCAGCGGACTCTCCCACCCTGATCTGATCAAGGGCGGGGCCAGCTGGCCAAACCCCAACCCCCCCTTTCCCCCTGGCCAGCCCCACCTTACCATCATAGGCTGGCAGCCACTACCCCTCCCCCCCACCTCCAGCTGGCCCCACTCCAGATCGCATCCCCCACTCCAATCAGAGCGGGGCCCACTGGCCAATCACCTGCAGCCCCTCCCCTGAGTCAGCATGGCCCCAATCAGGCCCCAATTGGGGTGGGGTTGGCCAGACCCCACCCATGCATGAATTCATGCACTGGGCCTCGGTACATAAAGGGGCTGATGTCTAAAAGGCAACAGATTTTTAAGTTTTAATTCTGGAGTATCTCAAATTCCTATATTTGTTAACTTTGACAGGCTTGTGTCTGTGTCTTAAAGTTGAAGGTTTCCCCCTTCCTTCTGTGGTTTGGATTGGGAACCAAGCTATGGTGTTCCTAACCTCCGACCTTTTAAAGCAGATATTTGTTCTATCTTGAGATTAACTGGACAATAGAAACTTATAAACCCCAAGGCATTTTTCTTAGGTCTAGTATGTGTGATTGAGCATTTTTCCCTCTTTTTCATAGGAGATAAATCTGAGTATAAACCTTAGTTTCTATTTTTTGCCTTTTATTTAGCAAGTTACTTACAATAAATCTGCTGTTTTTCTCATCTACATAATGAGGAATGACACTGCCCCTTCTTATAAAGAGGAAGTTATTAAAGGAAATGATACAGTATATCTAAAGCTTTTATTACAATACTCTAGTGGCTCAGTGCTCGAAATTCATGCACAGTGTGTGTGGGGGGAGCCGTCCTTCAGCCAGGCCTGCACTCTCTCCAATCCGGAACCCCTCAGGGGATGTCTGTCTGCTGGTTTAAGTTCCATCCTAAACTGGCAGTCAGACATCCCTCTCGCAGTCCAGGACTGCTCGCTCCTAACCACTTGCCTGCCTACCAGATCACCGCCTAACAGCTCACCTGCCAGCCTCATGGCCCCAACTGCACTCCCCTGCTGCCCTGATCACCCCTAACTACCTCTGCCTCCGCCCCCACCACCATAGCTTTGTCTAGAAGGAAGTCGGATGGTCTAATTAGAATATTACCCTTTTATTAATATAGATAGTAGATAGTAAATAAAGGTTTATTTCCTTCTAACCTAGTAAGTTAGATACTGTTAGTTTTTTTCTTCTCTGTTAATACGGGCCTAAGTTCATAACTACTCCATCTGCATCTTTGTGCGTATTAGAAAAAGTGGCCCTTCCTCTGTGCAGATGCAACCCCAAGCCTGGCATCAGGGACTGAGGCATTTGGGCTGGATTCCTGACCACTCCTCTGACTCCCACACTTTGTCCCCTTTGCTTAGTGCCCTGGTTTAAGGCACAGATGGCAACAGTAATTGGCAGTTCTTGCCTTCATCAAGGCTTTCTTCTTCATAGCTCATACATCTTCCCTATCCAACAAACTGACCAACGTAATATTATAGCTGCACTATAGATTTTCTTAGCAGCAGCAGCCTTTGGAAAGGGGTTGATGGAAGTGGGGAGGGTTGTGCAGTTGGTTGACAGTGTGACTTGAGAGTGTGAAGAATTTGAAATGTCATTGCCCCTAAAGATGATGCCAGTGTGCTGGAATTTTTTTTTACTGTTCCGTCACACTCTCCTCTTTTTTAAAAACACATTTTTAATGAGTTAAAAAAATAGCCCAGCCAGCGTGGCTCAGTGGTTGAGAAGGTCACTGTCCAATTCCTGTTGGGGCACATACCCAGGTTGTAGACTCGATCCCTAGTGTGGGTGATCAGTGATTCTCATCAATTATGTGTGTGTGTGTGTGTGTGTGTGTGTGTATATATATATATATATATATATATATATGAGTTAACAGCTGAAAATGTAAATATAGAAAAAGTTCTTGAATGAGATTTTCTTGTTATAAACTTTGTTTATATAAACTCTTGAAATAAGATTAATTCCATAAATCCCAGCTTGTGAGAGGGATGTCTGACTGCTGGGCCTAAACCAGCTGTTGAACATCCCTAAGGGGTCCTGGATTGGATAGGGTGCAGACTAGGCTGAGGGCCCTCCATCCCCCACTGTGCACAAATTTGGGGCACTGGGCCTTTAGTTTTAAAACATCAGTAGACATACTGGAGAACACTTTCTACAGAAGGTGATGGGTGTGGGGGTGTTGCTTGCTTAAAGAGTTTTTGTGTATGATAAAATGGACTCTGTACCTTAAAGAGGAAAGAGTATTTAACAAGGACACTAGAAGTCATTTTCCTCAATGGGATGGTCAGACAGTATGCTCAGTTAAGAAAGGAAGAGCCCTGACCTGTGTGACTCAGTTGAACATTGTCCCATGCACCAAAAGGTTACCAGTCGATTCCATCCTGGTACAGCACATTTGGGTCAGGTGCTTAAGAGGCAATCCATTGATGTTTCTCTCTCCTTCTCTCTCTTCCTCTTTTTCTGAAATCAATAAAACCATTAAAGGTTTAGTGAAACCAAAAAGGTTTTAAAAAATAAAACAAACAGTGTAAAAAAGAAAATGAGTCAGCAAAAGTTTTAAAATGAGTAAGGTGTTAAGTATATGTGAAAATTCAAGTGGATTCTAAGTATGTTCACAAATACAAATGGCTTAACTACCAAATCAAGTTGAGACTATTGATAAGATCGATATAGTAAATACCTCATTTTACTCTGAATTACATGCATGAGATTGTTGTCTTTCATTTCAGTGGACATTTAAATTTAAAAATAAATAATAGATTTCTACATGGTGTTGAAATGCTTTGGAATGAATGTCATAGGAATATGAATGTTTGGCTCAACTGAATGAACTTTCAAGTTTCACTCCAAATCTAAGATTTAAGAAATCCTATTTCTTTTATTCAGTCTAATAATTGTTTAGCCAAAATGATCAGTATACTTTGGTTTTAGAAGTCGTTTTTCAAGACAGGAGGGTTGAAAGGATGGATTTTGTTGCTGGACTGGAGACCTGTAGTTTGTGATTGCCCAAATTTTATTAGTAAGTACAAATAAAGGTGCACTGGAAAGGATTCTAGAGGCAAGACTTACCCGTACTTTCCGGCATATAAGATGACCCCCCTAATTTTACAGTTAAAACATAGGTTTAGGCCTATATTCGCTGTATAAGACTACCCCCCACTTCCAAGGCAACACCAGTTCTTTTTTTAATAGACCGCCTCTCTGACTCTGGCCAATCTGCGCATGCTTTTTTTCGTTTCAAAGGTCGTCTTATACACCGGAAAACATGGTAACTAGATCCTTTAAAGACGTTTATATTCTCTGTCCATTTAATTGGCAAATAAATAACTAAACTTTGTGAAAAGAATTTCCAAGAAAATTAAATAGAAGGAATTTTGAATAATTCAGTAAGATAATGGTTTATTTTACTTTCCATTGAAATATGTAATGATAGTATACAAACCCTATTTTAGTAAATTATTTGAGGTGATTGCTCTTTAGAAGTTCTGTTAAATGTGTTATGCCTGCCCTTGTCAGTTGGACTCCGTGGATAGAGAGCATCGGCCTGCAGACTGAAGGGTCCCAGGTTCAATTCTGGTCAAGGGCACATGCCTGGGTTGTGGGCTCCATCCTCGGTTGGGGGCATGCAGGAGGCAGCCGATCAATGATTCTCTCTCATCATTGATGTTTCTATCTCTCTCTCCCTTCCTCTCTGAAATCAATAAAAATATATTTTTAAAAAATTTTTAAGTGTTAATGCTTATAGAGTATTGATTTAACAGCCTTTTGATCCATTCGTGGGTCTATATAAAATATATCTACATACTGACTGTTAGTTAAATATTAGTGATTTTTGTTAGACATTCAAAAATAAGGACTTGGGGATAGAAAAGTGATATTTCTCTTTTAACCAGATTTATTTATATGAAGATACTAAGTTTTTTAGTAGTATCTTGTTAACAGTGACTTATAAGATTGCTGAATCTTAAAGCGACAATAAAGTCAGAAAAGTACTCTGTGATAATTCAAAAATAACTTGACACCAAAGAGTGTTTACAAAAATTAAAAATAACAAGCTCTTTTACTTGATTTAAATTAAGCAAAATCAATTAACCCATTTATGTATGCTTTTTAAAAATGTAACTTTGATAATAATCTAAAGTCAAAGGTCATTATTACTCTACATTTTAAAGATTCGTTTATGTTTTAAATCATTTTTTTTAAATCAATGCCCAAATCCTACTAATGTAGCACTTTGAGATTCCCGATAAACTTGCATGGGATCCCTAGGAAATACCCCAAGATGTGTGTAGAAAGTGCTTCCTTGATGGAGACAGATGATACATGTTAGAGGAATGTGTTAAACACTTTCATTGCAGTGAGTGAAATGCTGAGAGGCAGCCATAGGAGTGCAGAACTGCCTTCATGTTTCCTGCTGTATTATTCCTGCTCTGTGTAATCTCTGTCAGCACAGAAGACCAGATGGGAAGGAGAATTTTTTTACCAGGGAAAATGACAGAATAGATGTGAAAAGTAAAAATGACAAAAGTATAGGGTTTTTCACTTGAAAAAAAGCACAGTAAAGGATAAGGATGTTTGAGAAGTTGGAAAGTTGACAGCAGGTTTTAGGAATTTGATAATTCCTACATCATGCGTTGTAGTTCACAAACTTTGAAGTTCTACTTTTCATTTTTGGAGTAAACTGAAATGGAATC